TAGTTTTGCTGTATATCTGTTGAATTAATCGAAATAAGGAGCTTTACTAGGATTTAAACTGCATACTTGATGTACCTTAGGGCTTAAGGTGAAAGGACTACTAAAACTTAGCCAAGGATTTAGAAGGAGTTGCTGGGAAGCGGAGAATATTGCAGTCTTTGAATTTTTTGATTTTTCTGTATTCAACTAGCATCTCTCTTTATATGCGTGTTTTATACTTGGTAGAATTATCCGAGCCACACAAAAATGGATCCTTCAGTTTAAAGAGACCTTCGAGTCTTCTTTTTAGACGAGTGATTCATGTTTTCAACCTCAGGTAAAAAGAATTTCTTTTGGATTAGTGGTTAATAACATTTAACCTTATTTAAAACTAATACCTTTAAAAATAATTTATACAAAGGCCCATAGATATAAAATTCAAAATATTACCCTTAAACAATGTATTGCTTGTTTGAACCAAACCAGACAACCAAGAGGTTGTTAAAGCAGTCCCTAAATTAAAATATACCTTTGAGTCTCTTATTTAGTGACTCAAGTTTAGTTTTTTTTAGAAGCGACTCTTTTGAGTTTGGTGCTAATGGCACATTTTTAAAGCCTTCAAGTTTTTTTTTTACTTGCACATAGGTCCTACCTTCCCATTTGCCCCTTCCTCCTCAACCTTGCCACCACCTCCTTTCTTTTTGAAACCCTATCATAATAACAACTACAAAAAACTACACTTTAAAATTCTACTATAAAACAGTTTTTAGTAGTTGCTGCTACAAGTTTGACAGTTGTTGCAACAAATTCAAAATATGTAGCAATAACTACTGAAATTGTCGTAACAATTATGAAAAAAGTTGCTACAGCTTTAGTTCTTGCAGCAACTTTAGAATTTGTTGTAACAACTTGTTGAATTTGCTGCAAGCTATCTTCCCCTAGTTAGAAATTTTTATACACAAAATATTCATGTCTAAAGCAAAAACAAATTGTCTAATAATAAAAAGAAAATGAAGAAAAGGAAACTGAAGATGACGAAACATGGAAGAAGATGGAGAAGGAGAGGAGAGGAAATCAAATTTTGGTCCCTTCTTTTATCTCCCTTTTCATCGTTTTCTTCCTTCTCTTTTTGTGTTTCATCATCTACGGACACTGTTTTTCTATTTGTGGAGAATATTTTTGAACTAGTGGATGAGATTTTGCAATCAATCCATCAACATCGGTGGTTGGTGTATGGGATTTCAAAGAGGGAGGCGGTGGCGTTGTGTAAATAAGACAAATTCAGGATTTTAAAAATGTCATTAACACTAGGCACATGAGATTCACTTGTAGCAAAAACGTAAAATTTATTTTACTTTTCCTTGAATAAGAGATTAAAGAGTTACATTTAGAAAAAAGTACCCTAGTGGCTATTAGGGGTAGGGATAAAGGTGAAGTAGGCAGCGACTCTCAGTGCAGCATGACATGTGGTCTTGGGTTATTGATGAAATTTTGCCATTCATCAGTTGAAATATTCCACAAATCATCTACAAGATGTAGCCAAATGGAAAGGATTTATTGCTTTATGGGGGAAGAAGTGCAAGCCTCTTTACCCCACAAAGGTAAGGATAATGTTTGTGTACATCTTATCTTCCCCAGACCCCACATGTGGAATTACACCGGGTATGTTGTTGTTGGGGCAGAAGTGCAAGGATGGATTCAGCAGAGAATATTTTCTCCATGGGTTGGGAAGAAGATGTTTTGGGTTAGAGAGCAATTTAAAATAGTAGAAGGAGAAGTGATAGAATTCAGGAAGGATGGAGGGAGATAGGAAGAAAAAGAATGATATCACGGTAAAAAGTGCAAGCTATGGTCAATTCAAATTTCATGTCAGTGTAATTAGAGGCCAAACAAATTAATGGACTGCTCAGGGAGTTGCAGTGTAGATGGACCAAGTATGAATCGTATGTGTAGGTACTCAGAACTTAAGATAATCTAATCACTTAATTCTCGAACTAGGATGTACTATTTATAGTATATCTAGTGTGGTTGGCATTAGTACTTACACTACTGTGCGCTGGTGGAACAATAGCATAGTACTAGACCCCCAAATGTTTGATGGGACTTGGTTTACTTCCATTCCTATGATGAGGTCCGGTTGTCTCACGTTGCATTACTGTTACCTCAGAGTTTAATTACTTGTAAAAAGATTACCTCAAAGTTTAATTGCCATCAACTCAATGTTTTAGGTAACTGTTTGAGGAAGTCATTCTTCCAGTTGTTTAATATTTGTTTCAATGTAGTTGCATCATTTATCTTGTTGTATGGTTGCGTATAACTTGCTTCTAACTACTTTTCATGCTCTTTTTGAGACCATTTAGTTGTTCTGTTGGTTAATGTGGGTGAGGGGAATTAACTTTTATCCCGTGGTGTTTTTGCAGAAGTTTGCTACATTCGGAATCAAATGGCTGGCCATCGGATTGCACATGCCACATTGAAAGGACCTAGTGTCGTCAAGGAAATAGTTATCGCAAGTGTACTTGGTTTGGCTGCTGGAAGCTTGTGGAAGATGCACCACTGGAATGAGCAAAGAAAAGTTAGGTCATTTTATGACTTGCTGGAGAAGGGTGAAATAAGTATAGTTGCGGAAGAATAGTTTCTCAGGGATCATCTCCTGTGATTTGGCTCTTCAATTAAACATGGACATACTCTTATATCGAAAAAAAAATAAGTTTGAAAACCAAGTATTTCTCCGTCTATTTGTTGTTGCTCCATGTTTGACTTCCAAGTTTTTGATTTTTATTGACCTGCTTGGGACAGGCTAGAATGAATTTTCTTTCATCAGTTTGAAGTGTGCCATTCAACAGGCAAACTCGTGTCCATGTTAAAAGTATATTATTTCTACTTTAATAGGTTCTTTTTAATAAAAGATTCACCAGAAAATTTATCCCCAATCAATACGGGACTGTATTTGCTTAGTCTAAATCTAGGTCTCTGTTCATTATTTGTGATTAAATGGATGTAGATGTGTGCCTGCAGGTCGGTAAAGAGATGGCACTGTTCTGTTGATTTATGCCTAATTATTGCTGGGAAAAACACTTGAACCGTTGGAATCATATTTTGAGTTCCAATCGTGAAGCATTTAGCAACTTTATCACAATCATGTTTGGAATTATCACGAGTGTTTGTTTCACACAGACTAAAGCTGGTGAAATAACATGTTTTTATCTACACACGAGCAGATTTTAGTAATTAAACATCTACAAAGTTAGTTTTTCAATCCTAAAATCTTCTCACACAATCTAATTTGTATTTCCCTGACTCTTTTTCCTTCCAATTTTGAACTATTTTGTTGAGTAATAAGCAACCTCAATTAGCTTGCAACTGATGTAGTAGGCATAGAAAATTGAGGCTCGAAGGTAAGATCATTCTTTCAATTAGAATAAGCTCATGCTCAACAAGAAAAAAATCATTACCAATTTTCTGTTTCCTCCTCCCCCCCCGGCATCTCTTTAATTTTAATGGTTTACAATTTTCTTTTTATTTTTTTAACCCTAAGTTATTACGTACTTCCATATATGCGATGAAAGTCAACTTCAATTCGAGTGTCAACTAAGTTACTTTCCCAGAACCAAATGGCAAAGTAGAGTAAATAAGAAAACATAAAAAGTTAGAACCTAGATATACATTTGTCTAAATCTCAATTTGTAATCGTTATACACAGTACAAAGATGTTTACCATAACCAATATGAACTTTCCCTTTAATTAATGAACAATGGCTTTACACATCTAAATTGTAACCGCACAAAGCAGAACGCAGTATAGTCACCAATGAGGCCGTGTCATAAAGAAACACAGTGTTTTACAAGGGTTCTAATTGTTGCTATAGATATAGATTTTTGTATAAGTTGTCAGCAGGCGGACCTTACCAGATACTCCTGGCTTCATCTCCAGGTAGCTGTCACCCTTAGAATCTACAGTTCAAGAAACAAAGATGGGAAATTAGAGAAGAGAGTGATAACAGTATAAATACCAATGAATAAAATGACCACCAACTAAGCATGGACATTACTAGAATATAAAGATGCAGCAGATAGGCATTGCTGCTACTCATGCTGTAACCTTGTTACTCAAGATTCAAGAAGGTTACTGCAAATAGTGCTTTGGTTATTCAACGGCCAACACACTAGCATAAGAACAATTTGTCAAAAGCAAAAAAAGAGGTATCTGCAAAAGTCTACTGGTTGGTTGGTAAGAATGAAAGGAAGAGTAAAAAGGAGCATTAGTAAATGAGAGTGTATTTCCAAATAAAAGAAGACACACTCCTCTATGTAAACCTACAAATATTAGATTAATGGCATTAATTCTTTCCTTCCGATCCTTTTAAGCAATCAACCACTCGCATATTTAAATACAGAAAGTGAGGCAACAAAATATCTAACAAAATCTAACTCCCATACTGACATGGACAAACTGTACCCAACGAATCTGAGGAGAAGATCCCCACCATATCAACTTATTAGCTATAGATCAAAATTCCTCAAGGTGTTAAAGCATTAAGGTCCCGAGGCCCAACTATCATGATAATCAGGAATGGCAAAACTATGTGTGTATCTGCCACCATTGAGCGATTAAGTGCAGAAAAGTAATTTCAAGTAGTTGGTTAAATTAATTGGCATGGCTAATATAAATAAAATGAGACTACATTTATCCATGCTAAAACACAATACACCTAACTTTGAATAGAAACTCTCCACATGTGCTGTGGGGAATCCATAAGTTAAACTTAATTCAATCAAACAATCAACAACTTGACTAAACTTCCATGACAGAAGAATCAAGTTCTTGATATGAGAAATTTTAGAGCATACTAAGATATTTTCATGAAATATGAATTTACCAAAACAAAGACTTTCTGATACAGTGAAATTTGTCGTCACCCATATTGGCAAATTTTTAAACACCTCCAGCTGCACCAACAGCTTTGCTCTGTAAATCTACTGTCCCTTCTGCATTGTCCTTGCACACTCTAAGATCTGCCTTGACATCTGAAGTATATACACAATGATTTGGAAGCCACCTATCAGTCTCCCAGAGTACATGCATTATACTCTCACGTGCTCCATAACCGTGACTCTCATATGGAAGAATTACAAGGCAACAAAGGGTACCGTGACCTTTCAGTGCATTGAAGAAATTATCTGACTCTATATTTTATGCAAAAAGAAAAACGGTTTTAAGATCAGGACTCTTGAAGTCGAGGCTAGCAAACTCATTAAATAAATCTTGGAAGAACACGGAGTAAACCAAGAACGTCTGCTACTTTATGCAATCAATGAATGTGCAAATAAACACATGCCAATTAGGATCAAACTGTGACTACAGTATGCAGGGAAAGGAGATTCCCGACTTCAAGATTCTTCATGCTACTATGAATTGCTAACTTCTCATTCCCTGTATGCACTACAAACCTCATCTATCTCCATCTCGGATTCATTTTCCAGAAAATCTCCCTCTAAACTACCCATAGTCAGCTTGTTGTTTTCCACTTGAACATTTTCATCTTCTGACTCACTCTCAAACATATCATCATCTTCATATTCCTGCAAATCTGTAAGAGTGTCCATTGTTTCCTTCTTCTTTCTGTAACCAACAAAGCTTAGAACTTTTTCCCTCCAAACAATCAAAGGATGTTTCTCGATCAACTCAGAACCTTCATAAGCACTGTTGATAAATACATGAAACCTTTTGCCTCTTTCTGAAACATAAAAGATCCCAAAATGTTTAAGCAGCAGTCTCATCAGTTTCTGAGGCATTACAAACTCCTTTCTAAAATGAGTCAAGTAATCTGTCACCAACCTCTTTCCGACTGTAAAACTCAGCAGCTCATGCATCACTGCAACTGCTCTCTTATTGAATTCCAGTGTTCCAGCCTTTAATTCACTGGCATCTGCATAAGGTGACAAGTATTCCCGCTTCTGAAAATCCTCTATTTTCCCCTTATATCTGGACAACACTTGTTTATAATCAGGTGGAAATTTCATGGGGAAAGACAAGGAAAGAGGACCAGGTACGTGATCATCTGGCGCATGCATAACCCCCAACGCCTTTCTTTCTAACTCTGTCATAGCCCAACTTGATTTCCAATTTGCAAGCTCTAAGTACTCACTTTCATCATAAGGTTTGAATGGCTGAACAACTCTAAAGTGATCAGGAAACCTCCGCACCCAATGGTTCCTAAAATCCATTGGCAACCCCAAATCTCTTCTGAAATGAACAATTTTATCTAAGGCAAGGCACTTGTCTACAGACATCATCAGCATCCTAGTCACAAGCTCTGCAGCTTTATCACTGTGTTGTTCAATAATAGCCTCCTCTTCCTGGACTAAATCCTCAGCCTCCTTTGTCAGACCACACCACAAGATCCCTCTATCATCCTTGTACAGCTCAAAAAGCTTGGGGGATTTCCGTAGGAAGTTCGAGAGTTTATGGGGTTTTGGGAGGTTTAGTTGTCTTCTATAATCATCAAGTTCCCTAATCGATATGATTTGTTGAGGCTCCTGCTTAAGGACTTCAAATATTAATAGGACTTTGGAGAGTATTTTGTGATTCTCTGTGACTATTTCAAGGTCATGCACCCGCTTCTTCTTGCTTCTGTCTTGGACTCTTTTACTAGTGGTCATTGATCGGTGCCATTGCATGATTGCTGAAGAATCTATGAACAACAACACATTTGATGAATTTAGTTCAGCAGATAAGCATCGACGTCTACCAATAAGGTTGAGCATTGTGTCAAACCACAATAACCAGAAAGGATTCTCCCAGAAGAACAAAGAGGGTATTGCAGTTGTTAGTCCAAATACTAAACAGAGCACTGTATGATCGATGTACTAGCTTCTCCGACCAACGCCACGATGCGGCATGGCAAGTTTTAACACATTGTAGCAGCAAAATAGGCCTCCCAATGAAACCAAATTGGCCTAAGTGAGTTCTCAGGGAAAGTACCTTGAGGGAATATCGAAAAAGAACTCTGTTAAGACTGCTAGTTCACTCTAATCTCACAAATTATACTAGAAAAATCACATATTCATGAGTATATTAATTGAATAGGACAAGGTTGAAAGAAATGAACCTCAACTGCTTCTTACGATTTTTGGGAAGAAGAAACAGAGGACTGTAACTTAATCAGAGCGGCGACTGGACCTCAAGCTCTTGCTGAAATCTTTTGTGTCTGCGAGTGTGAATCGATGAGAAGGAGGTGAATGTGGAGCTGTCTTCTGGAGCTATGATTGACGGTGTGAAATTGGCTGGAGCTCCGGTAGTTATGGGGCAGAACTGGTCGACGGACAGTGAAGAGGCGAGGAGCTCTCTGTTTTCGGCAAAGGGAGGGACGGTGGCTGAGCTCAGTGGACCTGTGGTGGTGCAACGGTGGCTGGTGGTGCAAGGTGGTCAAGTATAACATCACATCTAGGGCATGTTTTTTTTTTTTTTTTTGAGTGTAGTTAATTAATTTTGATGCGTAAGTTGAGTTTTCACTTAATTCTATATTATAAAAATAACACTATGTATTATTGAATATCTAGTGACAGATAAATACTTAGTAATATTTTTCTAATAATATACTTATTTGTCATATATGGACATTTAATTTTTTATTAATTAATTTTTATTTTTAAAATTAAAAAATCTAATGTAGTTATAATATGCAACCAAACATTACATTTATAATTAGTTTATTGTGTAATTATCCAATTATATACCTGCTATGCTAATAATTATATCAAATTCAATTAAGAGACGCTTTCTATATAGGGAAAATTGTATATATAATAACAACAACAACAACAACATACCCAGTGACAAAATTGTATATTTAATAGCAAACTATTAATTCAAATTAAATGCTATAAATATAGTTTGATTTAATTGTACCCCATAGCAAACTGTTGTTATTTCGTCTCTCTCTTGGTGAATCTCTCTCGCCACTCTCATTCTCTCCCTCGCCTCTATCGTTTTTTATACAAATGCAAATGTATAAAATGTGTTTGTATAAAGCGAGAGAAAATTGTATATATACATATATTTTCGTTCCCCTCTCTCCCCTCTCCCAGATCTCGCTCGCCACTCTCCCAGATCTCACTCGCCAGTCTCTCCCTCGCCTCTCTCGCTTATACAAATAGAAATGTATAAATTGCGTTTCTGTTTGTATAAAGCGAGAGAAAATTGTATATACACATGCAAATACATATATCTTCGTCCTATACACTTATAATTATACAATACAAATATTCTCTTGCTCAGTTCTCTTTTGTCTTTCTCTCTTTCTCGCTTTATACAAACACATATTATACAATTGATCTTTTGTATATGTATACCGAAACAGAAACATATTATATACAACTGCTTTCTTTTGTATATGTATAGCGAAATGTACATATTTATGTTTGCTATGGAACGCAATTATGCAAACTATAGCTATAACATACAAATATGATTTTGTGTTTGCTATATGTGAAAGTTGTTCTTCTAAATATACATTTAGTATAAAGACATTCTTCACACTATAACAATTGATGAACTCATTTAATTGACACATGAATAACTAAGAAAGTTTATTTAGTGGACAGTCATATAAGAGGACTAATAAAACTCTCCTTAAATGTTCATAAACAATCTGTTTCATTAAAGGTCGGGGGGAATTCCATAGTTGGGTACAAATAAACCAGTTAAAGACGAGTAGGCAAGGCGTTAGGCTAGTGTCAGTGGGGGTACATAAACGAGGACAAATTACATGATTTTGTACTGATCAGTTTTGATTTGTCGAGTGACGATTGCTCCATAGGACGTGAGGGGCCTGTCTTATAATAAAGGGGTACTCTCTTCTCTGATGTGCGCTATATTATTGTGTCCTATTCCTTAAGGAATGATCCGGGATTAAGCCACGTGGCAATACCCGCCAAAAGAAAGGGGGCCTTGAGTACTCAAATGCGTACGAGAAAAGGACAATTATTTAGCGCACTTAAATCTAGTGGATGTGGTTCCGTATTCATGAAAAGCCAAGTTTAAACTTATTAAGAAGAAATAGTAAAGGAAAAAATGTATACACATTGAATGCTGATTCACTAAAAAACTTACTAGAAAAAAATTTAATTGATACAAATCTTGATTAAGAAAAAAAATAATGAAAAGAGTGCAATGTATATTTGACTCCCTTAGTAAGTATATTATTTGTATCTCGAAGATAATGCATTTTAATTTTATGGTTTAACTTTTTAAAAGTCAATGTTATTAATATCTTAGTCACTAGGTATGCCATATTATTAATTAATTGACTCCGTTGAGTATCTATCTTACTGTTTGTTGAACATTATGTGTAGAAAAAACTTAAGTAAAATGTTAATTTATTTGATCCCTTTTATGTATCTTCCCTTTTGTTGAGTTATGTCAATAGCATGTTTATCTAATATTGTTAGAATTTTTTTCTTCTTCAATGAAAGATAAAATAATTACAAAGTATGTTGAGTTATTAATTCAATCATCTCATATTTTTTGATAATTTCATGAATAACTATCATCTCCATATAATTTGAAAATGTAATAGTCATTACTTTTTTATCAAATGACATGAAACAATTATACCCAAATAAGTAAATAGATAGCATATTTTGGATCAGACTCTATATGGTTCAGTTTAATCATTTGTAAATTGAACTCATTATAAGAAAATAATATCCAATTGTCCCTCAAAACTATCTTGAAAATATATACGACTAGCACCATTTTAGTGTATTCTTATTATGGAGGAATTAAATTTTGCTGATAAGCTTCTTTAAAACTATATTTGCCGTTTACTATTGACAAGATACATTAATATCTTAATTTTTTTAGATAAGAAATTTTATTACAACTCATTTACAAGGATGCTTAGTTAAATTAAATGATTGCACATTCGTCTGAGGGCTTAATAAAAGTTTACTGTTCATAATTTATTTATTTTTTACGTTTGGTTTGTATATCAATACAAATAAAAAATTACAAAGAACACTAACTCGAAGGATCACATCTACCACCATGCTTTATTAATACTAATAAGAAGCCGTCCATTACAAGAAAATGAAGATTATTGAATAAAAAAAAATAGGAATTAGATGAGGGTGACGACTAGCTAGAGAAAAAATTGAGAAGAGAGAGAAACACTCAAACAAAAGAAAAGAAATATGTTTTGAATGAATTTTAACTGTTTTGAGCTAAACAAGGAAAACAAATATTCTTTTTTTTATGAATCTCCTATTTTTACGTCTCCTATTAATTATCATTAATTTTTCAAATCATTTACTATTAATATATCCGCTTTTACCTTATTTATTTTTCACACTAATTAATTCTTGCTGTTAATTTAAATCATTTTTTATTTTACTAAAATGTTAAAATCTGCAATTTTTTATTGTTATAACTTGAAAGATAATTTAATAATGTCATAACTTATAATTATTAGTCCTATATATGTCAATTATAAAATTTTCGCTTTTTATATATAAATATGGTTGTTTTTGAAGAGAGTTTAAAAGAATGATAACTCAATAAGAAATACGTTAAATTTCCATCGGATATTTTTCTATTCGTCTCTTTTCCTCTACTACCTCTTTAATTTACACTTTCATATTTTCTTTTTATTTTACCACTAAAGTTATTACATCTCCCAGAGGTAAATGTCAAAGTAGAACCAACTAAGAACACAACATAAAAAGTTGGACGAAATCATAACCTAGCAATACATTGAGTACTGAATCAACAATTTCTAATCGTTGTACAGAGCAAAGATGTTTAGCATATCCAATATGAACTTTCCCTTCTAATTAATGAACAATAGCTTTACACTTCCAAAATGTAATCGCGCAAAGCACAGCGCTGTATTGTCACCCATGACATTAAAGAAGCACAACGTTTTATGAAAATACACAACCTGCACTCCTTTATAAGGGTTCTTATTTGTTGAATAGAATTATTGTATATGTCATCAGCACACGGACCTAACTGGGGACGCCTGGCTTCATCTCCAAGGTAGCTTGTCACCCTCAAAATCTACAGGTCAAGAAACAAATATGGGCAATTAGAGAAAAGAGAGGAACAAGAATATAAATTTGTGTGAATTAGGTAACTAGAAATAGTGTTTTGGTCATTCAACGCACTTGCATTGGGACAATTTGGAAAAAGGAAAAGAGAGGTATTTGAGAGGGTCTAATGGTAAGTAGCTAAGAATGGAAGGAAAAATAGAAAGGAGCATTAGTAAATGATGTGAATTTTTTTCACATAAAAGAAAACACATCTCTCTATGTAAATCTACAAAATTAAAAACGGCATTAATGTTTTCCTTTCCTATACTTCAAACCAGTCAACACCTTGCATCCTTAATGCAGAAAGCAAGGCATCACTCTCTATACTGAACATGGACCGAGTGAACCAATGAATTTGAGGAGGTTTCCAACCACAAACATATTACCTATTAGAATATAGATCTACTCAAGGTGTTCAAGGATAAAGGTCTATGACTATCACAATGATAAGGAATAACAAAGCTGTGTGTGAATTTGCCATTATGGATCGATAAAGTGCAGAGAAAAGTAGTTCAAATTTTTGGTGTTAATTAACTTGGATAATATGAATAAAATGAGAAACACAAAGCGCGTAACTTTGGATAGAAATTCTCCACATGAGCTGTGGGGAATCCAGACGTTAAACTTTATTCAAGCAAACAATCAATCAACTTGACTTCCATGACAGAAGAACAACTTCTTGATATGAGAAATTTTAGAACATGGGATTATATATTCATGAAATAGGAATTTACCACAATAAAGACCTTCTGATAGAGTGAAATTGGTCATCATCCAAATT